GAAAACCCTTTGGCTAACCCAAACAGCCTCAGCCCTACTTAATTTGCTTCCCAGGTGTGCAACGACCATCTCGCGATCTTGGTGGCATTCCCGGGCTTTCGGTGACAGGTTCCCGGTCCTTGTCCGAGTGTTGAAAGCATGCAGCCGCTGGAAGCAGATTGCAGATCGCGACAAGTTTCTGGAAGCTTTGCTGGAGCGATATTTAAAAGGCTTTATGGTTGGCTAAAACTTGGGGCATGACTCTTTGGGGATTTGGTTGCGAGCTAAGGACAAGTGTCGCCGGATGAGGATGCAGAAAAAGCCCACACAGGTGTGCTGCTTCTTGCTGAAGCACGAAATGGAAGAGACCGATCCCTGATTGCAACTAAGACTAAGATGCCTCAATTCAACCCGCTTGAGAGCTGAGAATCATTTCGCTATCCAAGGATTATTCAGACATTAAATTAAAATTTACAGCACCGCGGGCCTGCAGAGCTCTAGCTCAGCTGAACCGCAAGGCTACTCTGCGTGGCCATAGCGGGCTCTGACGTTTGGTTGATGATGGGGTGAAATCATCCGTTTCATGGTCGTCTTAGACAGACCGATCCATAGACTTAGGATTGGCCGTTGGATCCCAGCCGGTCGTATGTTCTGGGGAGATGACATGACGCCCTCGAGAGAAAAACAGCGAGTAAGTCTGACAATGATGATACCGTTGAAACTTCTGACGACAGAGGCTAAAGTACACTTATTGAACTTTCACTTTAGGATATATCTTAAGCTGTAGCCTCAACCACTGCAAACCCTGAACCGACAACCCTCATATTTGGTTACGACCTAGACCCGGGCCGGAATCCCCCAGCCAACCTTTCAATCCCTGAAACAGCGCGAACTTTACCCACAACCCTCATATTAGACCCTGAACCGGAAGCCGCCAATTAACACCCCAGAACACCTGTCAGACCTGTCAAGCCAAGTCACTCTTTCTACTGAATCGCGACCCTGGGGCCTTAAGCGTCGAAGTAGTATTAAACTCTTTTGGATTGAGAGGTTAGGGTATTCTAGTG